AAGCTGGATGGCTACTTTGGCGGCTACTGTAACTCGCAAAGTTTCGATTGTAGCTCGAACAACAAATCCAGGGCGTGCCGGTTTTCTAATTCCTCACCGTGGTCTTGCGGGCGCTGCAGGTAAACTTTTTGATATATTCATATGAAGTCACATTATTTCTGCTAGATATAATACATGTAGAATTTGTCTCAATTTTTTTTTTCAACTCTTGATATTGTAAAACCCTAGTTCAGCTTCAGCACTGTTCTTTAACTCTATATTTTGATTTTTTTTTTTTAGTCTCTGTTTGTTTCTGATAAGTGTCTTACGATAAACAGTGCAATCATTGATATAAAGAATGTCAGATTTGATCTTGAAATTTGAAATGCCAAATTCAATTTAGCATGACATAGAAAGGTGTTTAGTTGACTATTCAGATTTAATTGGATAGACTCAAAATGGCCAATTTGGATAGACTCAATGGCTAAAATTGGCCTATCAATTTTGAATCTTTATTTTCCTCCTTTTTTGCCTTTGAAAGGATCAATTGAAACATACAGAAGAATTTTTTTTTCTCGAATTTTATTCTTTTTTTGTTGTACTTGATAATTTCCTCTGACTTGTTAATATTGTTGTACCTACAAATTATCTACTGTTAAAAATTTTGCACCATGGAGCTCAGTCTTGGTTTTTGGATCATGATATATGTTTGCCCCATCCTCGTGTTTTCCGCAGATCACCAGGGCCCACCAAAAGTTAACTGTTGGCAAGACCCAATGAACCCAGCAAAATGGAAAGAAGAACATGTGAGTATTATTTTATTTTATTTATTTATTTTACTTTACATTCTAAAAACTAATTGGTCACAGTAATATCTGTTTAAGTTGTGCACTGCAGTTTTCCTTTTGTTGAGTTCATGTATGTTTGTCTATAGCTTCAGTCTGTTGGTTTAGCATTTTCTGAGATATTTGGTTGGCTCCCCGACACTTATTTTATGCCATTTCTATTGTTAGTGCTACTGAGCTCAGTTCATTGAGGCTAGTGATGCAGGAGCATAGAGTTCTTTTAATGATTAGTTTTAGGGCTGTTTGTTTTGCATTAAGTTTGAGTTTTATTTGAAATCTAAGTTTTAATTTTAGGAAAGTCATGTGGATAGCATGTGACTTTTAATTAAGATTAGAATTTGTAGCCTATCAAAAGTTCAAATTAGAATTGAATTAGGATTCTTGGCTACTATTAGTATATATAGTTAATCTTAGAACTCAAAATTAGTTTTTGTTATGAGATTTTAATTTGAGAATAAACTTGAGGTTCAAAACCTAAGTTTTCTTGGTTCCATCTTTAATTTCATGGAGTTCTTAGTTTTTGTTTGTTCTACCCTTATCTCCTCTTCATCAAATTGGTATCAGAGCTATGGTTGGTTGTGGCAGGCAGAGGAAACAAAGGCCAACAAGCAGAATTAACTGAGATGTGACGTATGATTGAGGACTTGTTGCGAGCTGTGCAAGCTTTACAGCAACAGGAACCCATGGGAGCCCATATAGAGATGCCGGAAGGTGGCCATAACCCTGCAGACACATTGGAAGGTAATCTGGAGGATGAGACCACGGATGGAAGGGATGATAACCCTTTTCATGAAGCTGGAACTGCAAATCAAGTGGTAAGAGGTGGATTGGAATAGCAGTTGATACATGTCCTTGATTTGTTTGAAGAGGAAGGAGGTGACATGTTAGAACCAGTTGATGATGTTTCTTGTGATGAAATTGAAGAAGTGGACATTCTTTCAATTTAGGAAGAATCTTTAATGATTCAAGGAATGATGGCAATAGCTAAGGAAGAAGGACAAGATTGGGGGAGTCATTCCTTAAGTGAAGACAATTAAGAGAAAAAATCTCTAGCCGACAGCAAGATAATTGGTTATGCATCTGCTGAGAAATTTGAAGCTAAAAGCCAAGAGGCAAGGGTCATATATGCTGTTTTAAATAAGCTGTCAGGAGAACAAAAAGGAGAAAATTCTATGCAACCTAATGAAAATCTGCAGCTATTAGAAGAGATTAAAGGGTCAGAAAATAAGGAAATACCAGAAGGGATGCTGCCAATGTTGAATATTCAACATGCCTTTGATTTTATTCCAGCAGCAAGTTTAACTAATCTACCTGCCTGCCTGCAAGTTTGAATTATGCACAAAAATGGCAGACTTCATTCCTTGTTCTAAAATTTCAGATGCCGCACCAGTTGTTGATTTATTTTTGGAAGAGGTGGTGAGACTACACTGTATTCCAACATCCATTGTTCGTTATAGGGGTGTAAAGTTTAAGGGACATTCTTGGAGGACTTCATGGAAGAAAATTCCTCCGGATAAATGTAGTAAATACAAGACCTTCAATTTGAACCTAGCACAATTTCCAATCCAGGGAGAATGATGCGGGAGCATAGAATTCTTTTAATGATTAGTTTTAGGGCTGTTTGTTTTGCATTAAGTTTGAGTTTTATTTGGAGTCTAAGTTTTAATTTTAGGAAAGTCATCTAGATAGCATGTGACTTTTAATTGGGATTAGAATTTGTAGCTTATTAGAAGTTCAAATTAGAATTGAATTAGGATTCTTGGCCACTATTAGTATATATAGTTAATCTAAGAACTTGAGATTAGTTTTTTGTTATGAGATTTTAATTTGAGAATAAACTTGAGGTTCAAAACCTAAGTTTTCTTGGTTCCTTCTTTAATTTTATGGAGTTCTTAGTGTCTGTTTGTTCTATCCCTATCTTCCCTGCATCAGCTAGGCTAGGTAAAATAGTTCTTGACTTCTTGTTTATGCAGGTTTCAAGTTTTTAGCCCAAGTTGAAAGCTTTTTAGGGTAGTTTGGGGGAAATTTTTTGTTTGAAAGATTTGCTCATAATTTGTTGGCAAAAGCCTACTTTGAGCCCCTCACCTTACCAAGTTTGAAGGTTTTAGTCCCTCACCTTATACTATGACACCTTTAGCCCCTTACCTTACTAGATTTGTAGGTTTTAACCCCTCACCTATTAAAATTGAAGAAAATAACTCTCACTTTATACTAACAGTTAATTCTGTTAGCTAAAAGTAGATTTTTGTCAACTAATAGTCAATTAATAGTCAGTTAACAAAATTAACAAAATATTAAAAAGTTAGTTTTGCTAAATTTGTTAGTTGAAAGAAGGTTTTTTGTCAGTTAACAGTCAATTAACAATTAGCTAATAAAATCAACAGTTAGCTAACATAATTAACAAAATGTTACAAATTGAGGATTATTTTTTTCAATTTTAATAGGTAAGGGGCTAAAAGTATTATAGTATAAGGTGAGGGGTTAAAACCTACAAATCTAGTAAGGTGAGGGGCTAAAGTGTCAGTATAAGATGAGGGGCTAAAAGCCTTAAATTTGGTAAGGTGAGGGGCTCAAAGTAGGCTTTTGCCTAATTTGTTTGAAGAATCCCCTGATATTTTCTATTTTGACAACATGGTAAAATTCCCTTTTTTTCAAATGATAAATGTGGTAAAATTCATGCAGGATCTGTTTGGACTATCAGTCCATTATACTCCTTTTTCTCAGTGTTGTAGAAAGTGTTAGGTGATGATGAGGCATCAAGCCACTGCCTAGCACCTAGCTGCATCTAGGCATTTTTATTTTTTCTTTTTCTTTTATTTTTCAAAAATGCCAAAAAAAAAAAAAAAGGAACTCAAATAAAAAAAATATACATACTGCTTAAAAATGCTGCAAAAAGCCCCTAGGCAAAATAGCTGGATGCCCAGCCACCACGCAACACCTAGGCACCATCCAGGCACTCTTTTTGCAACAGTGCTTTTTTCTCCTTTTGCCATTATTTTTCGTGGCAAATATTTGTTGTAGTTTTTAAGCTGCTTAAGCATTGCCTTTTTTGCTTAATATTTCTAGTTTCTTATAAACTTTATTAAAAAATGAAATGTTTAAGGGGCTTGTAAAATATAGAATTAACTTAAACTTGTCAAGTTTGTGAACTAATAATGTTGTCAGGATATTGTGTAAGCAATGCAATAGGTGGCCTTTTGAGTGTATCAATGCACTATGCTTTATGCTTAATTCTCCTCTGGAGCTCAAGAGCAGTTTTTCTGCCTTTCACTTTTTAGATTGGCAATAGGTGGCCTTTTGAGTATGTATCAATCACTACGCTTTAAGGAGGTTGGTTTTTTTTTCTTTTTTTGGGTTCACGAATAGTTGATTTTCAGTCACAATTCTTCTTTGGTTAAATGCTAAATTTGGTCCCTCAACTTTAGTGAGTTGCACATTTTTGGTCCCTCAACAATTTTTTGCACTTTTTTGATCCCTCAACCATACGAAATGCACTCCGTTAGTCCTTCTGTTAGTTTAGGCCGTTAACCCTGCTTAGGTGGCATTTTTTATATATTTTTTAATGATGTGGAGAGCAAAACTTAAAAAGGTGATGATTTGTATAAAACTTGTGCCATGTCACATGTTACCTAACTGAAAACGCACCAAACCCATTCAAATGGGTCCCACATCACCACTAAGAATTGCTTCTTTCCTCGCCTGTTACTGTTTCTATTCTTTTCAAACTTTCCACTTTCAAGATTAAAGTTCGACAGAACAGAACCGAGCAAATCCGTTCCATCGAACCCAGCT